TATTGAAAAGTAACGCAAAAGTAACGTGCGTTAATTTTAGTCGGTAATGCTAACGGTAACGCGTTCCTTTCATTTTGAGTAACGTAGGTTGGTAACGCGTTCCTTTATTTGAAAGTAACGAGTAACGAATTTCGTTACTTTTTTCGGTAACACCCACAGACTGCATACAGCACAGCATACGTTTCAGTACAGAACAAGCACCAAACACACATCGGAACCAGATAATTGACGATAAGGCGCTCTTGATAACGATGCGAAGCATGTAACGCTCACCGCATACGTTTTTTCGGTAAAGATTACTGTTGAGCAAGCTGTCCAGGCGACGGCAGCCTGCGATGTGGGGAGTGACGTCACTAGCCTTTCATATATCAAAAGCTTTTGGTACAGTGCATTTACTTTTCTTTCGTTAATCCTTTGGTATAGACCCTTTTGCTTTATGCAAACATGAAGCGAACTGCCGCTTGCGTCCCAAGCGACTCCCGGTCACACAGTCTGTGCAAGCCTGTTGAGCTGGTTTATGTCACCAGTGCTAGAAAGCCTAAATGCTACACGGACACCAAAGCTGGAGGCCTTCGGCTGTACAATATTACATTTTGGAGGAGGCAAGTTGGTTTATAAAAAGACTCGAAACATTTTAACAGATCTCGCACTTCTTCGTTCTTTTGGCATTCACCTGGAGAATGGGGGGTTAAACGTTTCATCTACATTTCCAACAGCGGTATTAAGATGGCCTTTGTTCATTATTTTTATAAACAGGAAGTTCTCTGGGACGTCAAAGACTGGAGCACCACCTGGTGGCGTTTGCCGTAAGAAGTGTATGAAGTGCTGTGGGCAATCGTTGCAGGTTCGCTGTGAAGGTGGGTGAAAGGTGGGTTTTGCTTCACGGCGTGGATTGGGACACCAGCGTTTTTTTTTTATGTAATCTTGAAAAAAAAAATGATAACGAGCGTTTTCCCATTAGTCCTGACAAGTCTTCACATTCTAGTGCTCGATGAACACTGAGCGGCCAACCAGTTGACCAGCTCATAAGAGATGACTTGGCTCCTCAATTGTTCCTCAGTTTCATCGGGAGCATCAGGGAGGGATACCGTAAACTAATAAAATGGAGCGCCGACTTCGGTCTTCCAAATCTGCAATCTTCTTTTTGTGAACATTTGTTGTCATTTCCAAATAAGTAACAATACTTTCGAAGGCATCGATTTTATTACTCTTTACTTTGGTTTCCTGCAGAAGCTTTTTCACATCATTACACTTTTTTCCAAGATCACTGATCATACTTTCAGTCCTACCGTGTTGAGCTTTAATGTCAGCGATTTCAATGCGGCGTTTTGGCCATCTAATATCAGAGCAAACATTTCCTCAGTCGTAGGACCAGGAATGCTTTCAACGTCCCCACAAAGTAGTCCGCATGCATTCAAACAATCGTATGCTATACCAAGACAAGTCCCCGGACACGGCACAATCGTAAGAAACACATTGCTAGTTCTAGAGCAGGAGGTATTTTGACTGACCTGTACGCCTGCTTCTTTTGCAGGGTTTGTGGTGACGTCAGAACTCGGAGTTCTGATTTGCTCTGATAGTAGGGTAGTGGGTAGAATGCAAGGAAGCTTGCTTTTAGGTTTATCCCCTATCTCTCAATCAGAGCCAATGAAAGCTCGGCGTTCTGATGTCACCACAACCGCTGCAAAACAAGCAGACCAACTTGCGCTCCGCGTAGAAATGCTGTTCTCTTTACGAAGGACAGTACCATACTACGATGAAACTCGCCAAAGGGCAGGTTGTGCTGGTCCCTACCAAGCACTACGTAAGAGTCTGGCCTGTAATGGGTGCCGCATACTGTCACTGATGAAGCAGATATCAAGATTTCTGGACAACATGGCAGGTACAGAGCGCGACACTGTTAACACGAACAAGCAATCGCCGGCTTTTCCAGTCTTTCTCTTTGAAACCAAGGGATGACATTCGAGTTTTTATTGCTACGGAAAGAGCTCATTTAGTTCTATAATGTAAGTGATAAAATTTTGTGCGCGCTAATACTATTTAGAACTACTATGCGAAAATGCACCAAAGTCGTGTTCGCGCTAACAGTGTCGCGATGTGTACCTTTGAATGAAGTACCACGAGCTCTCTTTGAAACTGGAAATTTCAAGAGCAGGTGTCACAGCATTGAACTCCACGGCAGGGACATACGATCCTTCTTGTTGCAGGTAGGACTGCAAGAGCTGATACTTCTGAGCGAGTGACTTTGTGACATTGATGAAGTTGCCAGATGCCCTAATGTAATATTTGAAGTATGCTTCTTTCAAATTGAACATAGTCGTACAGTTTAAAACGATATTTTTTTTTCATAAAGGTATAATCACTAATCAGGACAGCCAAATATGACACTTGATCAGCAGATATGGCAGTTGCCCATGACAAGTTCTATAGTCTTCTGGGAGATCGAGAGGAGACCAGACTTCATTCCATGCATATTGACCCTAATACATCCCACTAGCGGTAGGAATAAAATATCTGTGATTTTGCTGTGCCTGACCGACAAACCTTTTACCTCTTAGGTTTACTGGTGCCGGCTTGTTTCTTTTTTTTTTTTTTTTTGCTAGAGCATTGCATTTAAATTTAGACTGAATTGTTACATTGAAGTGGTGGAGGACATCCACTTCAATGATTTTACAATGTGATTAATCATCGGTACAGCATCCTAGTCGGCAACTCTTTCCAAAAGAACATGCCCAAGACACGGCGGGAGCCCAGACGGACAAACGTGAGAGGACGAGAGCTTGTTATAAAGTGAGTCGATCGGAGTTGACTCTCATAGAGTCCACTTCTTGGCTTTTCTTCGCACGACTTACTGCCTCGGTGTATGATACAATTGTTCGAAGCTCTGCTTTCTTGTTGTTTTCGAAGTCTGTCTTAGTTGTTAAACAGTACCGACACATGTCAGATGTCCTGCTAAAGTTTTGACAACCTGTGAACGTTTTTTGGTTTTGGGGACTGGTGTCCCCTTTCTTCTCCTTTAATGGAAGAGAGAACAGTATACGCGAACATTACAAAATTGCGCAACTGCATCCGGCCACTGGGCATATATAAAAATAGTCGAATAAAGCCTCGACGACACTTTCCGGCCGGTATATTCAGCTGGTGTTGGCGCTGCGTCTCACAACACCTCCCAAGTGGCGATCCCAAGAGCAGACGTACACAAGGCAAAGCAGATCCGACGCGGGGCTGTTTACCGTTACAGCGTTATCGTTCGCCCCAATCTGGGGCCTCCCGTCCCGAGCCATGCAGTGTTGGGCGAAAGACACTCGCAAAACCGCGGAGAAAGTAAAAGCAAAATGTTAAGCTATCATCAAACACGCGCGTAAGCACAACACGCGACAGTATATTGGTTTAATTCGGACAAAGTGCTTTTGTGTGTTGTTTTGACTGTGCCGTCGCGGTAGCCAGACCGGTTGTGCCAATATATCCTTCCATTGGGGACCGACAGACGCACGCACGCACGCACGAAGAAAATTCTGGGAGTCCGCTAGAACTTGAAATCACAAATATGGAATAATACAAAGAAAGAAAGCCGCTCCTCAATGGTCACATTCACCCATCAAAAGATAACCAGGTTGGTAACGTTAGACCCGCTCACATTAGGTACTTTGAAGTTTCTTTTATCGCAATTTTAGCCCAACCAGACAAACTTCCGTTAAGAGCATTCACGTTTATTAAACATTGACAGCGACTTTTTCCTCCAAGGTCCTATAGTGCATAAAATGAAGTAATATAGGAGCGATCGTATTAATTTATTCAGAGCTCGCCCCACACATGACCAGGCCACGCAACGGCGCGGGCTCGGTCGGCGTCCGGCGGGCAGTTTTTTCATTTAAACAAACCTTGACGGACGTTAGTTTCGATGTTCCTTCTCTGAATAGCACTGTAATAAACTAATAATATATAAGTAAACTCCACCTGACGTCAATTTTCCCGCAAAGTTTATGGGGGAATCTAAATTGGTGTGCAGATGTCGTTACATCAATTCCCCCGTCATACTTAGCAGGGAAGAATGAATTGGTGTTCAGTTCTCGTGACGTCAAGTTGTGACGGCAATTTCCGAGCCAAATTTAGCGTGGAAACTGAATCGGTAATCTCGGGAGAAAGTCACATGACATTGATTTCCTGCCAAATTTAGCGGGGGAAACTGAATTGATATATAGGTCTTCTAACGTCAGGTCACGTGATATTAATTTCCCCGCTAAACTTAGCGGGGAAACTGAATACGTGTAGGTCATGTGTCATCAATTTCCCCGCTAAATTTAGCGGGAAATGCATGGACGGACGGACGAACGGATCAAATTTTAGGATTGGTGGGTTGGGGGGGGGATGTTCCGTTAAGAACTATTTCATGCTTTAAAACGCACGTTCTTATATAGCTTTGCGAGATCTGGGAGGCTAGGAGGAATATGATAACCTAAACTTTGAGACACGGAGAAATAAAATGAGGGTGATGTTCCCTAACCACCTCGCCCGCAAACTTGCACTTTTAGGAACACGATCCTAGCTCCGAGCGATCTAACGCGTGGAAGTCCGACGATCGGCGACAAGCTTGACGCGAGGAGCCCAGCGACTCGCGAGGCAGACAGACTCGGCCGACTCGTTTATCTGTCGAGGCGGTGCCCGGCAGCCCCTTGTCGGGTTGGCCGACTCCCGTCCAACCGGTCGCGACCGAAGGCGGTGCTGCCGCTGCCTCCCGAGCCCGCCCTCGTCGCCGGCCGACCGCCCGTGCCTCGCACCGAGCAGCTCGGGCGAACCCCGCACGAGCCTCCGCCGCAGACGCGTGCTCCCGTCGATCGGCGGAACACACGCTCCCCGGACGCCCGTCGCGCGACCGTCGACGTGGGCCTTCCCTTCGCCGGGTGCCGTGCTTGTGCCGCCGCGTTTGTGTCGTCGCCGATCCCGGCTGGCGGAAGTGTTGGGTGGCACGTAGCCTCGCCCGGGGCGGGAGGAGAGTGCCGTGGGGGGTATCCCCGTCTCCCACTGGAGTAGCCGTCGTCCATGGAGCAGCGGCATGAGCACTGACGGAGTCTGCTCCGGGTGCCATGGTCCACAGTCCCATCGCTGCGCACGACCCTCAGGCCAGCGCTGGCAGGCAGCAGGCTTTGCTGCTTGACGCCGACAGAGGTGAGCTCTTCTTCTTGCCGCCCTCTTAGAACTGACCGGATGGCGAGTGGACGACAGGCGACTGTCAGCAGGCCTAGGAGACGAAGAGAATAACGTTTGTTTTGGTTCTTGCGCTGTGGCTCTCTCTTCCATCGAACTAACAGTGCGACAGGGCACCACGTGTGGCGCCCAACGTCGGGTCAACCATGCATCTTACGTAGAGGGCCGAACTTTAGCAGAGATCGAATGCCGCCCATAAAGGCTTTTTTTCTGTTCTTTAGTCGGTTCACGATGGATACATTCGATGGCTATTGCTGAGGGACCCTGCAGCTTGGAAAGCTTGGACGCACGTAGAGCGCAGGATTGCCCCGAAGACCCGGATCATCAGTGCAGTCCTTTTTTCTATCGACTTCGATGTCGGCGTATACCGGCACCGATGTGTTTTCCCGTGCTCGCTGTAAGGTGTCGATACAGGTAGTTGTGAAAGTATTTATTTCCCTCCCAAAACCACCAGCTGTCTGCTTGAGCCTTGAACACAAGTATGTGCGAGAACAGAACGGACAAAGGGAGCAGTAGAGACGTCGCTTTTTGTAACCTAAACTATGTTGTAAGCAATCCACCGGCAGAAACTCCCTAATCTTAAGGCATTGACGCACTGACCCCCTCTCAGTATGTAAATATCTCCCAATCTTCGGACCTTTTCCCAAGGTCTCAACCCCTTTTCGCTCAGTGTCTTAGGAAATTTTGCTTGGTTTTAGGTTGGGATTTTACTAATATCATATCGTTTAGTGGGCCAAACAAAAGAGTGTAGGAAGTAAAAAAAAACAAAAAAAAAACCTTCTATACGGTTCAAAAATTTGAATACATAGCGGACTGTTTTGTCCCTCCTTTTAACTCCGAAACCCAAAAGCACGTCAGCCGCCCCCAGCCCCTGCACTGGAAACTGGCACTTCGTCACTCTGACATTAGCACTCGCCAGCAATCAATCCGTCGGTGAATATTTGGATTCACGCTCGTGGATTCAGTCCATTTACCTGAGACTAGAAGCACCTCCCTCAGCGCGAGCTCGCTGGCTTCCGCAGAACTTTGGTTGCGCGTGCCTGCGCGTTCACAGTTTTGTTAGCAAGGACAGAAAACTTTCGCTAAAGGCGGAGCTTGTGGTCTCAGCTAAATTGTGAACGGATTATAATGACTGCCATGACGGCCCTTGTCATCACTTGCGAATGACAAGTTTTATGGCGTGCTTCAAAAACACGGTGGAAGCATTTGGCGAAATACTACGTCACAGCCACGCATCTCATTTCTATTTTGAGTTGAGGAGGAAAGCTAAAAAGGAAGAAGTTGAAAAATCCCTTCATGACCTTTTTAAGCTTCCCCTTGAGCAGTGATAGAACAACGACCATGATTTGTCCCACGCTCGTTGACCGTAGACAATACTGAAAAAGCACCACTGAGAGTCACCTTGTGCGCCGCTGAGCGGCCATAATTCGCGATATCATCGAGCGAATGCTCGTTTACAAAAAGGCAGGTGGCGTTGCTGTCGCTTTGTATGTGGTGAGTCCCCATCAAACGCCTTATCGAACTCTTCCTGTCACTTCCCCAAAAGAAGTAACACTTCCTTTGTAACCTTCCGCGTTTTCTATATGAACAACAGGTTGTATTCAACAGTCTCCTCCATAGCTGTATCCACTCCTCCTGTGCACGTGCTAGCAACAATGTTCTATAACAAGGGTCTCAACCACGTGGCCTGCCTCTCGCTGGGACGCGGCCCTCCCTCAAGCATCCCGTGGCTCTAAGTTCTCGTTCTCGTGTCTGGAGCGCTACATGCGCAGGAAATAGTGTTCTCATCGCGTCGATTTGTTTCCGCTCAAGATATTTATCACTGCTTTTATAACGTATTTTAGTTTTATAAAGAAATCAAAGCAGCGAACACGACGTCCATTCTCGCGGGAAATCGCTGAAATTCCACTGAGACACTCGGCTGTTCTGCAATGCAAAACACCTTTGCTGTTTCTTTTATTTTTTTTTTCTCCACTATATATTTGACGCCGCGTTAACAAACCCACCCCCGAGATCGCGTGGATTTTAGCGTACGAACTCCGCCGGATTTTGTAGCAAAGGAACACTAAGAGTTTTCGCCTGAACACTCGCCCCTCGCACAACCACGCTATCTATGGCAAGACGCGCTATTTCTATCCCTCAATCTCGCCACTCTCACCGCACTCGCTTCGGAGTTCTGGAAGGTTCTCCGCCGCGGCGTCTGCAGTTCGCTTTCCGTTCGAAAAGGGTGAATGGCAAGAGCGCCGCGCTGAGCAGTGTAGGCCGGCGGAAAATCGCAGCGAGGACGACAACAGCAAAGGGCACAGGAGTCCAGCTAACACGCACGAGAGGCAGCGCGTGAGTGCCTTTCACACATCTCCTCAAGCACATTTCCGACTATCCCAGTGATGGGGAAAATCCTCGCAAAAATGTATCCAAACACAAATACAAAAGATACTTCGACAAAAATCTAATTACAGATGCCTTTGCATTTTTGAAAAAATGTATTTGAATATAAAATACAAACACAGAGAAGTTTATGACCCTCTCCAAATACTTTTGCAGAAATATTTGTTTTCGATAGCACGGTTTTTGTGCTTGAAAAATCAACTCGAATGCATGATTAAATAATGGATTCTGTATGATTCGGCAATCAAGTGCTTGCAAACGAATTAGCAGACCTAAGAATAAAATGTATTTAACGCACACAAGGATATATGGCCGAATGAATCTTGTGCAAAAGATAACAGTTTGTGTTGGAGAAGGTAACTTTCCTGTAGTACGTGGCTGTTTATCGGACATTCGCGTTTGACAGGAACGAGCAAATCAAAGGGTTTGTAGATTTCTAATAGGTGAGCAAGCTTGAAAAACTTGCTCACCAGTAACAGCCTCGAAGTATTTTGTAGTGGAAACTAAATGCAACACAAAACAAAAACCCAATAGGTCAACTTTCATGCATTTCGTGTTCATTCATGTTGACCGAACCTGCCAAAAGGCATGCTCGTGACATATCACTCACATTGCCAAGAGGGAGTCGATGGGCGAGTGATTGGCTACAGTGATGCGAAACTATCGAAGAAAGTACTATAGCTAGTTTACTAGAAGGTACTTTACATAGTTATATCGATTCTCGACAATCAGTAGTTGGCTCTCAGTTGACTGTCGATACTATCGAAATTGAACTTTAAGAAAACTACCGAGTTTTTCGAAGATGAAATCACAACCCAAAAAGGAGATGCCTACGGATATGTGCAGGCATACAACGCTGGGCTCGGTGTAAAACATGTAATAGAAAGGAAACTAAACATTAAGCTGCATCCCCATACTATTTATTTAGAGATAAAATATAAAGGGCGATAATTATGATTAAATTAAATCCAAATGTGCAAGCGAGCTGGACACCAGACTCGTTGGTGGCAGTCTGGCTGCAACCAGTCTAACACCAACGAGGGCTTCACCCTTGTTGGTGTAAGACTGGTGGCAGCTGATAAAACCCGTTTGCTCTACTGACGTCTAAACCCTGGTTAGATCAGTTGGTAGAGCTCTCCACCTGTAATGGAGAGGTCCCGATACCCAGACCAGGCGGATTTTTTCGGTCGCTCACCAGTCACCTAGCTGTGTTTGGAGATTTGCGTTTGTCCTAACTGTCCCCCTTGTTCCCCTTCTCCAGGGACTATTTTCTTTATAAAGGGCGTTTTGCTATTTCTCTTTTTCTTTTGTGCACACATCTTGAAGATCTTTTGCGGTTCAGATACCACTTTAGTCTGTCTGCATTTGTAAAAGTACAAAATACATAAAGCTTTTTTTTTTTGGCTTGGGAACATCTTTGCTGAAGACAGAATCTGGGTTTCTCTTGAGTGTCTTTCACGATTGTGTTTCTTTTGTTATTCAGTTCTCACCATTTACAATCGTTAGTAACCGCTGACAGGTGAGAATTGACACACTGCTGGCGATCATGGTTTTTCTTATCTGCTGAGGACCATTCATAACTAATTCCCGAATATCGGTAATTATCTGTTGAGAGAAACAGGTAGGCTTTACTTGTTAGTCCACTTTTTGTTCAGTTCTATTTTTGCAGATGTTGATAATGGTGGCTGGTAAAGGAATTACCTTCTAATTAAAACCACAACTTCAAAATATAGGGCCCGTCACATTATCTAGAAAAAAATATTTTAAGTCAAAAACGTTATATACATTTTGTCGTGGACAGTTAAAATTCAACACCAGGTAAAAAGGATTTACTAAGGCAACACGGCTACATACTGAAGTTTTTATTTTTCCATTATTAAAATACAATAAGTTTAAGAACATAACGCTAACTAAATAAAAAAATGAAAAATAAAAAAAATGAACATTTTCAGTGATCCAAGTAACGATATTGTTGGCAGTAAGGCATTATTGCTGTGAAAGACTTGTATATCTTAAAGACGGTAATAATATTTTTTTCGTCAACCGTTTGTTAATTTTAGCAAACAAAAAAAAAAAAAACGCCGCACCTATTTTTTTTATTTTTTTATTTGCATTAAATCATGTTCTATATCTACCCCCTTCGATCACCACATATTCAAGCAGAGTTTTGAATTTCTGCTGTGCGTGGGTACTTATCAGGGTTAACAAATGAGTTTTTGTTTTTCTGGTTGAGCTCTGTCTGTAAAAACCAAAGTGCGAAATCCCAGAATCCAATCCAAAAACGGCCGAAAAACTTCGACAATCCATCAAGAATAAGATTGACATTGCGGTATTGATATCTTTTATTCGAAGCTTTTTGTTAGTAGGAAAGGCGGATTTCTACAGTTTTCCAATAGTTTTCCAATAGGTTTGAAGTTGTTCCTCGAGTTATGCGGAAATCCTTAGTTGGAATTGTGTTTTACTCCGAGCTTCACGACGATTCCTTGATAGACACCTGACAATCTTTGTCACGTAAAAAAATACTTTCGACAGCTTTACGATAGTTGGCTATTGGTAGTTTCGCGATAGTCGAT